GCACTGCACCCACCAAAGTCCACATCCTGGGAGGGCAGGGGGCATGATGGGCCTTCCACCGGCCTCAGCAGCAGGGAACAGCCCTCTGTAGCTCCCAGCTACAGAGATGCTGCCTCTGACACCAGAGGCTTTCACCCTGTGTGGTAGAAGATGACCCATTCCAAGAGAAGAAAAAAAAAAAAAAAAAGGCTTGATCACAGAAAGGGCAAGAAAGAAGGATAACCAGCAAAGGTTGCAGTCATCCTTCAGAACCTCTTTTAAATACAAGAGGAAATTTCAGTGAGGCTGAGACAGAGATAATCTATTTTGCCCCTCTTTATCTGAGTACATCCAGACTAGGGTTGCCAGATTTAGCAAATGAAACTACTGGACACCCAGTCAAATTTGAATTTCAGATAAACAATGACTAATTTCGATGTAAATATATTTTATGCAACTTGCTTCTAAACATACTACCTGAAAATATTATTTTCAGGTAAATATTTGTTATTTACCTGAAATTCACTTAATTAGGTATCCTGCATTTTAACTGAGATGCATAATCTGACCCCATGCTAGTCTGTACACAATATATGAGTTTCTAATGCTTTCACTGTAAGACTTGAATGGCAAGATAGCATAGCCATTAAAAGGCTCAAACAGAAGTCAGAAAGCCCACGTATGAAATTAGCTCTGACACCTATCAAATATGTGGCCTGAACAGTTGGAATTGTTTATCTCAGCTTTATTGTCTTCATTCGTAAAATGGAAACTACAACTCCTCCCTCAGCTGTTATTAGGATTTAATGAACAATAAGTGGTCAGTAAGTAGAGAATATAATTATTCCAGAAAATGTTCTTGTGTAAATATCAAAAATAATCAACATTGATTATTGTACATACACTCTGTATCTAATGCCCAATTGCTGTGGGATTATCCTAATTGCCTTTCAATCTCATAGAGTAGGATTTTTTTTAACAAAAATTAATAACAGTGGGAACATTTTAAAAGTGATTTGGGATCTTAAAGGCCTGGTATTGGATACCTTAGAAATTTTAGGAAACAGAAACAAGTGACTCAGGAATAGACGATGGCATTCTATTTTAATAATAATAAAAATATGTGACTTAAACATAAAACGAATTACTGCAATATTTACAGAAGGGTCATGTATCAAAAATACTAAGCTATGGAAATACTTTTTTAGCATATAAGCAACTGCTCATGAAATCCTAGACTCTTCAGTGGTGTATATTCAGTGTTCAGACAAGCTCAGCCACTGATATAATCATTGATACATTAGACCAGTGCCTGAGAGCACACACACACAGAAACACAAACAACCCATACACATACAAATGTACTTTTTTCGAAGCCATAGAGAATTTCAGAGTTCTGAGAAGGAGAGGATGTGCCACTATTTGACAGTAACACTTGGCAATAGTTCTGACAGTTTGAGGAGAAGCCAACCTCAGTGGTAAAACCCTTTTATGGGCCCTTGGCTGGGACATTAAAATAGGATTGCAGTGAACGAGAAAAGCAGGGTTGGCGAGAACATGAGGCAGGCTTCACTTTGTTTATTTCTGCCTTCACTGTAAACTGTGCTCATGGCGGAATTTACATTGTGCCAGTTTTGCGTCACCTTGTAGAGTACAGACCCAGGGTAAGTGAAAAGAGACTGGAGAAATGAGAGTTAAAGGGGTTCTCTGTTTTTAGCAAAACTTTGAATTTATCAAATGGCTTTAGCTTTGCTAAGGTCGTTGAGTGCCTACCATATTCCCAAGCGCTAGGTTAGTGCCTGTCCTTGCCCGTGTGCAAAATGGAAATAATAACCGTATCTATTTCATAGGGATGTCCTAGTGATGAAGTACAAGAATGCTTATAAAGTGCTTGTCACCAGTGGCTGGCAGGGAGTAAACATTCAATAACTGTTAAGCTTAAAACTGAATGGTAAATTTAGAGCATTATAATTATTGAGCAGTGAGTCAGTGCAGATCCAGGATTCAAACTGGGAGCCTGGCTCCAGAGCCAGCCCTCTTAATCACTATCTTGCACTGTCGCCATTAATTATCCATTAATTTTCATAGAACATTTGAAAATGCATCATTGTAGTTATTCTTAATATTGATAAAATGAGGCACAGAGAGTGTTAATGGCTTGGCCAAGATTTTAAGAAAAGGGAAGCTTCATCTCACAGCCACCATTCTCCACAGTAGTTTGGTAAATAAACCTTAATAAATGCGCACAGCACACTATTAGAGAAAGGAGTATCCGGGAAAATAATTAAATAATTAGAAGACATGGTCCCCTCATGGAGTGGGCTTACTTTTTCTGGTGAGGAAGATGAAGCCAACGCCGATGAGTCAAAAAAGAATCAATGAGTAGTCATGCACGCCATGTGAATACATGGGTATAAAATGTGCATACAAAGAATTGAAAGGAGAAAATTTGAGAGGGAGCAGTCCCAGAAGCTTCCAGGAAAAGGGAAATTGAGAGCCAAGTTTAGAAAGAAAAGAGGGGTATGGCTTGGCAGAATCTTCTCACTCCAGCCACCTTGCCAATCAACAAATCCTCCCTGTCCAAGGGCCGTCCCCAAAGGGAGCCGTGATGGCGGGCGTGTGCGCAGCTCCAGCCTGCAGCCCTTCCCACGAAGAGGCAGGAGACAAGTCAGTCTCCACTCAGAACAACTGACAAATGGCCAGAAGAATTCACCAGTGTGGTAGAAGCTGACCCATTCCAAGAGAAGAAAAAAAGAAACTTTATATAAAGATGGAGTCCTGTAAGAAATCCCAACCCTCCTCCTTTTTTTTTCCTATGGCATTGTAAATTACTTCCTTGCCAGTCTTAGAATGCACACTGGCTTTTCATACTTCCATATTCTGGATTTACATGTGCTGTACAGTTTACTCCCTCTTTTTATCCTCCCTGCTTTCTATGCTCTTATTCCCACCCTCTTCCTCTTCCCACACCACCCCAAAAGACAAACAAAAATAAAACAAACAAACAAATATGTGGAACTTCTTACTTGGAATGATTCAAGAGTCTCTATACTATTAAGACACTGAGTAATGATTGGCTGCCTTCCAGGTGGCTCTGCAGTCTGTTAAATAGCTCAATTAGTGAGCAGCTCTCTCACTCGCTCTCTCGCAGGCACCCTCTCTCTCTCTCATTGAATTTTGCCAAGTGCATGCTGCATTGTTGGAAGGGGCAGTGCCAAATTAGCCTAGCAACATCCCTTTATAGCCCTGACGTCTGGGACACCTCAGAGCAGCAGAGAAATCACCATTCCCCAGGCCTTGCCGGGACCACGAGGCAGCAGAGAACATTGTGGCAGGATGGTTTTTCCTTCTGAAGGGTGGTTAATGAGCAATGTAGGTGAAGACTCCTGAGAGGTACCTGGGCATCCTGCCCACCCAAATAGACGACCGCATTGAGATGGCAGTCGCAGACAGAGACTATGACCAGAGAGAGGGACAGAGGAGAGCAGCTCGGGGAAAGAGTGCCGGCCAGAAAGTAAAAGCACTGCCAATTCATTTAGGTCTGAATGATTTTAAGTAAGCCTTGAATCCTTTCTTTAAAAAAAAAAGCAATATAATTCTTAAATAATATAAGTAAGCCAAAAATGCCAGTGCCATGTGAATCAGCTGTCTGCCTTTACCACCGTTTATTCCAGAACTCAGCCATCGATTTCTCATTCTGTCTTTCTATAAAAGAAGGTTTAGGCACACACCCTCCACCCACCAAACACACCTAAAGTGAGCCCTCAAATCGGTGCTACATTTATGTCTATTTGTGGTTCAACCAGACATAAACAGTGTCAGAAGAGAACAAATGAGAAAGCTACATTCTCTACAGAGTACACAAGCCCTACATAATTCACAGCCCCTTAGTTGAAACTTGTTGCAGAGCTCTGAAAATTCATGCAGAAAGCAGGACATTCATGTCATAAGGTAAACACATTTAGTCTGTTGTCTGTTTCAGTAACACATTTATTGGTACAGGCTATGTGATACTGATGTATTCATTACATCTTGGCATTTACAATATACAGTATTTCGCTGTTTGACTCATTACAGCCTTCATACCAATTAGGTGAAAGAAAATATTGTTTGCAAAAATACTTTTAGGGGGATTACATTTATCCTACAATATTATGTATCACGATTTTAGAAACATTAAGTCCCAGCATTTACATATAATTATTATGGTTATACCCTAGAGAAGATATTTAAATGTCTCTACCCTGTCTATTGAGTATATGTTTCCCTTGGAAGGAGAACCCTGTCAAACAATTAGAGTGCCGAAGTAAGTGAAAATATTCTTGGTTGCTAAATTGGAGAAAAAGTTGCCCCAAGATAAAAATTTTTAATGTAAAATTGCACTTTGATTCGAGTGGTTTATTTTTCTTATGACATTATGGGAATTTTATTCTTTGAATTTTAAGCATAAAATCATACAACTCAATTATCAAGATATTTGCTCTGAGAAAATCAAATACTGAAATTAGACCGGTAGATTTTTATGTGGACTTGAATCTGCCTCTTTGTAATTTCTATGGGTACTTGGAAGTGTTTTGCCATGAATGCTAATGTGCTTTGTGTTTTAAGTAGTGATTCTGCACATTTTGAAACACAGGCAGATTTGAGCTGGGGATACGGGCAGAGCACTTTGTTGGTTGCTGCAGAAGGAAATCATAAGGTCCTTCAAAAATGAGATCTCCAAATACATATTTTTCAGATAGAAAGACAGTGTACCTACGAGTGCCTATCTTTTGGATGAATATATACCTTAATAAGGAAGATAAAGTTAATTTTAATTTTAATAGTAAGTCCTCACTACCTTTACACATACCCATATTTTCTAAAGGACAGATCAAAGGTGATAAGAGATACCTGTATAATTCACTAGTAAAATAGTGCATTAGGATAATCCCTCGTCCATCTCCTATTTTTTTTTTTTTTTTCTGAAAAAACAAGGAAGGAAAATGAGAGAGAGAAAGAAAGCATAATCAAAAGCCTACATGACAAAGAGTTGACAGTCAGATTCTGTGGTAAATGATTCCAGAGTCGCTGGCCTGCGGAGACGCTGAGGAAGTCCCCAGCAGACCTGATTAATTCCAGTCTCTCCAGCTGCCAGGGGAGCAGAGGGTAAGCAGTTTCGCAGAGAGGAGCCTATTACCACTACTAGGCTGAAATAGATCTAATCAACTCACAGCCGCTCAAAAGAAAACTTTACAGGTTTAGCTCACTAAGGCAGTGCTTTAAAATGATGACTACAAAGGACCATGGGAGTCTGAAAGCATTTAGTCTTTATTGCAGCTCAAGGAAATTTTCTGCTGTGGTTAGGCCATGCTAATTTACTGAACATGACAAAGCCTCCCAGACTGTGTGACATCATTTGTTTAAAGGCCCCAGTGCTCATACTGGACAATTTCGAATATTACTTTTTTTTTCTTCAAAAACAGTTAATTTGTTGATATTTCATCGGTTTGGGCTAATTACATGCACCATTATAAATGTCTGAACTAACCTACTTCAACATTTAATTTAAACAACAATGCTCTGTAATTTGTCATGGTGCTCACAAAGTGATGAATATTGCAACTTTGTTTTCTAAGCAATCAACATTTTTTTATCAGTGCATCTTAGGAGGAAATTCCTGGCAGAAAGGGATACCCTGAGAAACTGATACAGCTTCCCTTCCCCAGCTGCAGAATTTAAGTTATATAGCAGTTTGTATTAGACTAGTCAAAAGGGATTGAAAAGTATATGAAATAATAAACACTATAGCAAACAAAGTTCTAGATTTTTAAAAGTATTTTGTACTCCAGGTTAGGCTGTACAACCACCTTCTTTTTAATGGAAAATGAACAGAGCGAAAATTATTAAGGCCAGATTGAAACCAAGTAGCCATTTGTCTTTTTTGGTTTTGTTTTTTCCTTTTGGTTATTGGAAATCTTAGTAAAGAGGTAAAATCTGCTTTTGCTTAAATAATCAAGATTTGGAAACTGCACGAGTTACATGATATGTTGTGTAGAATGCTGTGTGTGATAGCAAATAGCAAATATGCACACTCATACTTATGAAATTTATTGATGACTAATGAATTCCCTGATCACACCTTCAACAGAAAATTAAAAAGGAGTACTCAAATCATTGAATTTAAGTTAATTAGAGAAGATAATCTGCAAACTGCTTCCTTCAGGAATTTTTTGTCTTAGGAAGATACAGTAGAACCCAAAAGATCAAGAGTGAGGAAGTGAGGAAGCAGAGGTAACATAAATGATGGGGAGTTTGGAATTTTGATAGTCACATCTGAGCCTCTCTGTTTAGACATTATGTCAATCAAGCATAGTCCTGGGGTTTAGGGGTGTGGGATGCAGGGAGAGGGTGTGGCTGGGCAAGGCTGCTAGGCATACCACAATTTTAGAAAAAGCAAAATGTAGTTACGTGATATTCCAAGAAAAAGTCCCAATATTACATTGGGATCTGACTTTTAGATGTAGAAAAACATCCTTGCCTGCTGATCATTTGCATACAATTGACCTCAATACTTAGTAATATCATTAGGATTGTTATATGAGTTACAGTTGTTATTCATATGCTCAGAGCTTTGATGGTCAGTTTTTCCCCTTAAAATAGATTTTCGAGCTATTTATCCCTAGCTGATTCAGAGGTCATAGAGGTGCCTGGACTTTTCCTACGTGTCAAGGAGTCCAGGATGCATCATAAATACACATATTTGAATATCGATTTGGAAATGTCTAAATTTTATCAGAACATTACCTTTGGTTCTATTGTGTCCCTGAACTACATCACTAGAGTTCAAGCTGGATTTGTGCTTTAGATCAGCAAAACATTTTTTTTTTCCTGAGGGGTTTTCAATTTTGTCACATTCAGGTAATAGTAAACTACTTAAAATGTCAACACCAAGAATCTAGCAGTACCGGTAGACTAGATACAAATGCCTGTGGAACCAAAGATCTGAACAGGTCAGTCCTCAAGGCACCGAGGGCCAGATTTACGTCTATCTCTGCAGTGACAGTTGGCTCCTACTGGCCTCAAATGTGCAAGCAATTAGACAGCTGTACGTGTAATTGGTTTGACATGTCCCTTTTGTTCTTCCAGAGAGAAAAACTACCTTTAAATATTTCGAGAATAAATTTTCGATGATAGAGATAGCTTTTTGAAATGTGGTATTTTATCGTTATTTGGGTCTAATGGAGATCCAGATAAAAGTATAATATTTTGAGAAAGTATTAGACGGTTGGCTTGATCTATGAATAGAGAACTAAGCTGTTGGAAACCAGGTCATGAAAACCCCTATCAAAGTCTGCCTGTTAGTTTTGGTCTGTTCTAAAACCTAATGACAACCAATACTTAGTACTCTTGGAAAAAAGAATAGTTGATGGGAGGATAAGCAGGACTAGATAAAAGAAAAATAAAAAGATTAGTATAAATCTGTATCTGGAAAACAATCCAAAGCAAATGACCTACCAAAGCCCAAGCAGCAGCATCATTTTCACTACAAACAAGAACTCTTGGAACTTCCTCTTCTGTTATTTGGAAAGAATAACAAAATTACTAATAATCCAACTCCAGGTTGGATAGCTTTAAGGTAAGGAAAAGATAGAAATTAGTCATGAAGTCAGAACATTGAAGAAATAGAGGTGAGGTGGATCATGTCAGGAAAACTGAATGAAGCAAATGTTTTTGAGTACAAGGATATATAATTGTAGGAAAGATGGAGCTATCTGCTATCTTGCTTATGTATATGCTGTTGTTGGATTTATTTATTATGGATTTTACCACTTTAAAGGCATGGTTGTTAAAGTACATGGAGTGTGTGTCTAATCAATGTCATGCCTATTCCAGTAAGTCACTAAGGAGCAGCCCTGTCACACAGCCTCCAAAGGACAGACAGTGAACCACAGAGGAAATGCGAATGTATGTACAGTAGGGTCCATTACCAAGGAGTGTGAGCTTGGGACTAGCGGAGCTCATCACCACCAGAAAATACTACCAACATTCTAAAGAGCTTGTTTCTCAGGCTTTTGAAGGAAAAAATAATGGACGGTTCTGAAGTCACCTGAGTTTGTTTTACTGCATTATATCTTCTGGCAGGATCAGTGATGGCAGATGTGATTCAGCAATAGAAGCTGTACTGGCAGATTTTTAGACTAAATTCCGAGGGCTGTACTTTCTGACTGGCTACCTCCCTGTGGTTTGGCTTTTTAATGGAGTTCAATAGACTTCATGGTTCTTATTATGATTTCCTTTAAAATCTCTGTGTACGATGAAGTTTGTGCTACTGAACATTGCTCTAGTTTTCTTTAAATGCTGTATCTTCAACACAGGATAGTAAAGATGTTCTAATTAAACTCAATCCATTTTACATCAATTAATGCAGACTACGATTCTCATCAGATTTCACATGTTAAGCGGGACTTAGGGCTGGTCGACAGATGTTAACTATTCAGATATGTGGTGAGCAACCAACTCCAATGACCATTCTTGAGCCAGACTTTTCTTTTCACTTGTTCAGATGCTAAAGGATTATATTTCAGTTCAGCTAGACATTGTACAATAGCAGAGAAGCCTATATTTTATGGCTCCCCTGAGTATATATCAGTTGTAGTTATTTTTAATTATTTCCAACATTTAGTTCTTCTCCTAAAATAGCCACTCTTGCTTTAATGCTTGCATTGATGAAGGCCATGATCACCACGGTGCTAAACTGAATGAGAACAGAAAAAGGCAACTTCATACACATTACACATGTCCCTTCCTTCCAGGAAATGGTCCACCTCCCCACCAAAAACACCAGAAAGGCACTACTGAATTTGACTTTTTAATAGATACTTTCAGCAAAAAATGCTACATAAAACAATAAGCCTTAAAATTATTTAATTTTTTTTTTTTGTTTTTTGAGACAGAGTCTTACTCTGTCACCAGGCTGGTGTGCAGTGGCGCAATCCCAGCTCACTGCAACCTCCGCCTCCTGGGTTCAAGCAATTCTCCTATCTCAGCCTCCCTAGTAGCTGGGATTACAGGTGCCTGCCACCGCATCTGGCTAACTTTTCTATAATTTTTAGTAGAGATGGGGTTTCACCATCTTGGCCAGGCTGGTCTTGAATTCCTGACCTTGTGATCTGCCCACCTCGGCCTCCCAAAGTGCTGGGATTTACAGGCGTGAGTCACCGTGCCCAGACTTAAAATTATTAATAGCTCTGTTTCTGTGTTCTTGGGAAACAGTGACAGAGTTTACATGCTAGGAAATCTTGTATACACAAATGACAGGCACTGCATGCCTCAAAAGACAAGTAAGTCCACCATATGTAAGACTTCTCTCTTGTGTTAACATAGGGACGTTTATTGGTAGAGTGAAGTTTAGAGCTTCGCACAGAATTAAGAGGTCTCTTTGAAATGTCTATATGATTATGTTCCTAGTGACAGAATGTGTGATGTCTGAGAGTGAAAAGGCTATGCAAATTACAAGTATTTGAAATCAAAGTTGAAGTCCAAAGATCTCTGGCCAGTCAAAGGGTTCGTTTCTGCCCCCTGGTGGATGGAGAGGCATTTCCACACGTCCATTATGTTTGTTGTAAAACAGGAATTTCAATGGGTTTTCTGAGAGTGGGTTTCTGAAAAAGACAAACAATGATGTGGTCAGATTTAACCACTTTTTTTTTAGTGAATGCTTGGTAACAAAGTAAAAACTTAATATAGGCAATTATGTGCTTCCTCGGTCCTTTCGCATGTGACATGGCATTTCTATTGGGGCAAGTGGCTCTGTGTATTACGGTTTTGGGTGATTCTCCACCATGTGTTTCTCCCTATATCAATTTATTTTCCCTTCTCATCTGCTCATATCCAAAATAGAAGCTAAGAAGAGAAAGGAGACTTCCATCTCCCATTATTTTCTTCCTTGCATTTTTTTTCTGGCATCGTTTCCTTAAGTTTCACTCCTTTTTCTTATCTTTTCCTCCCTGATGTCCATGGTGGTGTTTGCTATGCCATGTTTTCAACAGGTGGATGACTTTATAGAACTAGCAACTTACAGTTCTCATTTATTTTCCAGGTCAAAT